TTTCAGTCAGAATCATAATTGACATTTTATATGTAGCGTAATACGTTATAGCAATATGTACACTAATACAATTTACTATTTAGACTAGGTAGGTATACGTTTTAAAAAATATTTACATACACGTATAATAATTATAGACTATACATTTTTGTTTTGAATTCTTATACAATTATTATAATTTTATACATTTTATTAATAATAATTAATTAATAATAATGTTTAATAATATAGCATAATATTATTATGTAGGACTGTATATTTTAAAATACATATTTTATAAGGGAGGGATAAGCAGTAGCAGGCGGAATCGATATGTAGATATTTTAAACAGTAGCCGGCGGAATTAATAGCCGGCGGAATCGATATAAACCTTTTTTCTAAACAGGTAGTTTCGGCGGAATCAATAATTCCCCGCTTAGAGGATTGATTTAGTATCGTAAGTTGACCCTAAATAAGTTTGACGCATTGCAGAAACTGTTTACCGTTCTTTCACCAGATGCAGAACATGTTGGAACAGCGAAAGTAATAAATTATAAATGTACCATTTAATATAAATTTGGAAAAACAGATTTTTGAACAATACTTTTTAGCCTCTTAAAATGAAAATGATAAAAGTAATATAATAAAATAAATATAAAATCCTATTCTGTTTTTAGAAAAACACCCCTAAATAAGCGGCTGACTGGCTGACCTTTCGGGTCGTCCGGTCATTGTTACTCGTTAGTTGTTAATTATTATCATCGTTTATACATAATGTTACAAAAATAAAATCGTGAGTCTATTCTTCTAGGTGAAGACTATTTTTATGTTAGTAATAAATTAAATAATATACGATGTCTGTTCAAAAAGTACCCGGATTTTATTTTTAATAAATACAAAAGTTAAGTTACACATTATTTAAAGATATCTTCTTCAAAATACTCTCCTCCGGACAAATTTCAATTGTCCCAGTGTTCTTGCCATTTTTTTAAATTCCTTTGAAACTGCTCTGAAGTTAAGACTTCGAGTTCTGCCGTCGTATTCGCTTTAATTTCTTCTACATCTTGAAATTGTTGTATTTTGAGTGCAAATTTTAGTTTTGGGAAAAGAAAAAAAAACACACGGGTCCAGATCAGGATAATAGGAAGGGTGTGGTACAACCAAAGAGTGCACAGAATCAGCCAAAAATGCCCTTATCAACAACGCTGAATGGGCTGGCGCATTTTGTTGCGGTGAAGAAACCAGGTACTTGTTCTCCATTTTTCTGGGCGCTTTTTATGAATTTTTTCTCCCTCACGTATTAAATCGTCTTTGTAGAACATCTGATTGACTGTTTGCCCATGAGGTACATATTCATAGAGAA